ACAACAGCAACAGAGATTATCATTTTAACTTAGAGCTAAATACATTCTTATTGTTCAAAATAGAGTCCAACAGTGTTATAAAAACCTTGTAGAATTCCAGTAAGATATATTTAATCATTTCTAAGATACAACATTTCAAAGATTAATCTAACAATTGGACAATTCTGCTGTTACACCCGATCTATCATATATATATATATATATATATGCATTCTGACTGATCCCAGGAGCATGAAACTTAAGTAAGAGTCTGATAACTTAAACCTAGAGCACTGTTGATTACTGTTTAGGTAAGAGTCTGTCTTTTGGTCTCTTTTTTTATTTTCTTATTTTCCTGTTCTTGTATAGGTTTGCTTGATTTTTTTTTTGAGTTTTCTTTTGGACACTTGGCAGTCTTTCTAGTGGTTGTATCAACACTTTGCATTTTTATTCGCACACACCCATATATAGCAATGGTCTCCCTGATGTCATCAGTTCTTAAGTTAGCATCTATACAGATGTCACTACCATTTACTCCTGTCTCAATAATAAATCTGGCAGTACTGAAAAAGTTAACTTGGCTGCTGCTCTTGAAAACAATCTCCAATCAGTGGTTAACTGAGGCAGTAAATGGCTTGTAAACTTTAATGCCTCCAAAGCTAAACTGCTCTCATTTAACTGCCACAGAGAAACTCCACTGCACCCACCCCTGCCATCAGCATGACTGATTCTTGACTCTTTAATATTGTCTCACTGTACTTTATTGGCCTCATGTTTTCCAGTGACCTGAGGTGGAACATTGAATCAATAGCTGCATCTTCTGCAAGAAAATTTGGTTCACTGTGTTGTGCCAGAAGGTTTTTCTCATCAGAGTCAATCTTGCACATCAACAAATCTACCAATCATCCATGCATTTAATATTGTGGCCATATCTGGTCTAGTGCCCCTGCTGTTCATCTTGAGGGTCTCAACAAAATCCAAAGAAGAATCTGCAATGTAATTGATCCTGACTTGGCATCTCAACCTCAATTATTCTCTCATAGACGTGATGTGGCTTTCCTCTGTCTTATCTACAAATATTTTCATGGCAACTGTTCTGATGAGCTATCTTCCCTGATGCCCTGTCTACATGAATTTAAGCGTGCTACTAGACTGACATTGAGTTCCCACCCTTTTACTGTTGAAATAGTTAAATGCAACTATCACTTCTACTCCAGCAGTTTCTTTTTTATGCTTCCTGACAGTGTAACTCCCTTCCTCTTATTTGCTACCCTGATAACTACAATCTTCAAAAATTTAAATGCAACATCAATCGCCATCTTCTGTTGCCATGATTCCTGCTCTTTTTTTATCTTTTCCTCAATCTTTTCTATATGCAGACTTTTCCCTCACTTTCACTCTGTAACCCCTTGTATGCTAGTGGTTCTCCTGCCTTGCTTGGGGTGAAACACTTAAAATATATATATATATATATATATATATATATATATATATATATATATATATATATATATATAGTAGTGGGTAATTGAATGATAATATGTAAAAAAAACAAACTCTAAGGTAACATGTTCCAGTCCTAGATTTATGCCAACATATTTCCTTTACTCACAAAACTGATTGAAAAAATGTTTTGACAGTATCAATAAACTAGGATATGTATCTTTATTTGTCTATGTGTGTATTGTATCTTTTCCCTTTGACTTCCCTCTATATTAGTTAAAAATTTGAGCAGGATAAATTCATTAGGCATTTATTGTTTACTTTCTGAGGAATGCGAAATCTATTGTACTTATAGCTATTGTCAATTAGTTTCTTCCTTAATAACTGTTCTGTGAATATGACCTTTGGACATTGTTGCTTCAGTAGAATAAATATCTAAAATGATTAAAGACACAGGCTTTTAGAATGTTAATACTTTAATTTAGTAAGCTCTTGATGAGTTCCTTACTGTGTGCTCTGTGTGGCATGGTACCTAAATTGGCTTAGTTGAACAAATATCTTTGGTGAAAACAAGTAAAAAAGAAAATGTGTAGACATTGACTTAAACATACTCTGTTTATTTCTGTTAGGGGAGATAACTCTCCCCTTATGAATCATGTACTCTTCCCGAAAAAAGTGTAGTATGTATCAGACAAGAACATGGCTGCTGGACCATACACCACTTGTAAACAGTGAATTGTTTATCCAACCTATTCCTGGTTGGGGAGAATAAAAACAAATATTGTTGTGTTTTAAAATATATTTAACTGTGTTTTGTTATATTTTGTTGTTTCTAATATTTTGGGTTACAACTATTTTCCTTCCTTACAGAAAATAGATGAGCCTTTTTCTGCGTCCTCCTTTATGAAAATCTGTTAAACAGTAAATAAATAAAGTGTAATGTAAAAGAGTAAATATAAACAGTGTTGTAGAAGTGTGTATATATATATATATATATATGTATATTTTAAAGAGAAACAGACAACTTTAAGGTTCCATTGTAATAATTTATTTCACCAGAGACTTTTATTTTTCCCTGTATCTTCAGACATCACATTCAAAAGGTGAAACGAAAAATGAAATTAAAATTTACACTTTTGACGGGCAATAAGTTGACATAGAAGGTATCGAGGAATGGTGTGAGAGACATGGTCGACTTTAGAGAGGGAAGGGAGAGTTTTAAAATTTATTTTTATATTTCTTTTTATTATAATAGTTAATATTGAGGAAGGAGGGGTTAAGGATCAGATACTGACCTATTTAATCAGTCAACTCAACAGAAATGAATTGGGGGAAAGGAAAGGAGAAAAAAGGGAAAAAGAAAAAAAGGGGGAAGTAAAGAGAAAAGAGATGTACTTAGGGTTTTCAGAGGAAGAAATTAGCAATTTAGATAAAAACAGATTTTAACATTTGATAGTAATTTAAATGTTTAAAAAACTCCACAAAGAAATTAATTTAATGCTTGTTAGCAATTTAAATATTCAACTTCTGTACAAATAAATTAGGGATTTAATATGAGTTGAATACTATATTAATAAACAACAATAATAAAAAAATAAAAGTTTACTAATAGTAATATTTCAATATTGTGAATGACTGTTAAGGTAAAATCTTTATCAGTTTGAGTTTAATTCATGAATGTAATTTGTAGCTATTTTTAGATGGGTAATATTTCTTAAATAAAGTTTAGGTTTCAAATCAAGATGGAGTAAGATTTGAAGGTGATAGTAAAAAAATTTCTGTTTTCACATACATATACCACATACATATTTACGTAAAAATCACATATACATACGTTCATGTACATGTGCAATTACACATATAAGCACATACACATATCGATATACACCCGTATATATGCATATACATATACAAATACGTACACATACATTTACATATCTCCACATACATTCATATTTATACCTATTTAAATTTTTTCCTTAAATTTTACAGTTAACATTAGGTGGTGAATTAAGTGTTTAAATTTCAAAAAATATATTTAATTTTAATATTTTTAACATCATGACTAATAGTTAAGGAGTAATATATATATATAAATCAAGACTTGATAATACAACTCCATTCATTAAGAAATCATCCAATGACAGATCTACAGATACTTATCTACTTTGTCAGTAATAAAGGTGCCATTCATTCTCTGGGTGGAGAACATCTCTCTGAATGTAATGTAAAACAAAACCCTTCTGAAATACCAAAAGCATGTTTGGATGAAAATGTGTCAATCCAGAAGATCCACAGATATCTTGATCCAGATAACTGGAAATCTGTGCAACATGTTTATGGAGCCTTGAGATTGTCAGCATGGTGGTTGTGTGAACTGTGTAGGCAGGACTTGAACAACATGAATTCTGTAGTCTGTGACACTTCTATATTTCTTTTAATAATTGATGATGAATAAATGATTTTAACTTGTTTTTTAACAATTGATGGTAGAAAAGATTTTAAATTTTCACAATTGATGATGAAAATAAGTAAACTTCCATGTTAAATCTGTGTTATTATTTTTAACATTACCTGCCTCTATAACAATAAAAATATTTACCGGCAAAATAACCCAGGGGCTGTAGGGGTTACTGACCTGTAGGTGTCTAATAATCCTTATGCATTTATATTATCATAAATGTAACACAAAATAATGAACAACAAGCTACAAACAAAAACAAATGTTAAAGAAGTTGTTTAAAAGTTCAAATATTCTTGTCTTTCAAGATTTGTGTTTAGCAGATTTTGAGTTGTGGAGTAATCTGTAAAAATGAGAAAGTCCAATTCAGTATAATTTTGCTTGTGTTGAAAATAAACAGTTTAAGGTTTTCGAAAAGTTAATTTTTAAGTTAAGTTTAATTATATATTTGGTTTGAATAACAAAACTTAAGTTTGTTTGTTTAGTGGAATATCAACTCCTTATCGGTCATTTAATGCTGAAATTTAATTTTCTTGGGAGTATTAGTAATTTGTTTTCCAAAAATGTATTACTGGTATTATTTTTTTTTTTTTTTCCAAAAATGTATTGCTGGTAATTTTTTTCTTTTTTATTATAAACATGTATTTTTAAACTTTCACAATGTTTTAACCCCAGTTTGGGAATTAATTATTTGCCCATAGCTGAGATCCTAACAGGTGCTAACACCCCAGGTCATGGTGGACCTAGGAACAACAGCAGTTAGGAGGTGGTTCCACGTTTCTCAAAATCTCCTGATAAGAGGCTTTAATTAATGTGTCACAAAAAAATTCATTTACCAAAAAGTGTCACCAATACAAAAAACCTTGGAAAACTCTGACCTAATTTGAATCAACATAATCTTTCTTTTCTTTTGTTTTGTTTTAGCTGGTATCGAGAACTGTGTCCCAGGAATAATTCTGCAAACTGGAACCCTGGGCCTTCACTAATTACCTCTCAACTTCGGATAGCACCCAAATTACTCCGTTTAACCTGGGATGGCTATCCAGTGCATTATGATAATGAGCATGGATGGGGTTACTTAGTACCAAAGCATCATGTTTACCCACAGCAAAAGGAGATGCTTGATGGAGAAGACAACAGAGTGCAGATTGTGGATGAGAATGAACCTGATGATTTGGATAACAAACCAAAGTTTCCTCTCAAGTATGTTAGATTTATTCATCAAATGTTTTGCATCAGTGATCTTTGCTCATTTGCAGTTTTAATTTCTGTAGTTTCCGTTACACATGATCAATCTTAGAAACTCTCTACTTAATAATGGACACAACTTAAAGAGAAAAAATACACATACAACCACAGGTTGCTAAGATTTACAATAAGAAAAAAAAAAATCATCTCTTTTCTTTCAGTGTGTGTGTGTATATATGGTCATCCACAGACAGACTGTTTCACTGTATCACAGCTCTTCAGTGTGGCTAGACGTCCAGTTGCCTCTAGCTAGGATCAAAACCTGACTGAATTGGCATCAGTTGGAGATTCTACCACTATGTGCTAATTCTTGGGAAAGGTATTAATCCTCTTCTTCTCCCTCCAGCTATGGGTAAATATCAGGACGGAATAGGTTCTGTAGCCTTGGATGGCAATTAGTCTAGTAGAAGGACAACTCTGAATTCAAAACCTATGGAGGGTTGTTTGGGGACCTTGTGGTATGTAGTGCACCAGGTCTCTGTGATCTCTTCACCGTTATAATCAAATCATGTGTGTTGGTGTCTAGGCTGTCAGTTCCTAGGAACTGAGCTGTCAGTTCCTATATATATATATATATATATATATATATATATATATATATGAACTGAGCTGCTTGACCCTCATTAATATTATCGAATACAATGAGAGAGTTCACCATATATATATATATATATATATATATATATATATATATATATATGGTCATAAGTCCTGTAACTCATTAGTGTTGTAGGGGCATCACATGCACTGCAGTTATAGTAGAAGGGGTGTGTCTTGAGCAAGATAACCTGATGGAACCCAACCCTCTCCAGAGTTTTTCCTTCTTCTTGACTGGTTGCCACCCAAGGCTATAGAACCCAGTCTGTCCTGCTATTTACCTATAGCTGAGGAGGTGGAAAAGATGTGGATTTATACCTTTCTCAAGAGTATTAGCATGTAAGTGAATGTAATGGACTTGACTAGAATTCTAACTCACCACATGTATTCTTCAGTCTGAGCCACAATCCATTACTCCACCATAAATCTTCAATTTATCACACCTTCCTGAAATAAGTATGCCTCTCAAATTACTGCCCCTTTCTCTTTCAAATAAATGCTTCAGGATGATTAGACAAAAATATTTGAGAAACAAAGACAAGAAGTTAATTTAATCAAAATATGCCTTTTTCTGAAAAATATGTACAGGCTCATATTTAATCTCTTTAAATTCATTTTCTAGAATAATCATATTTTCTTTATTGGTAGTCATCGCCATATGCTTCATGGGAACTACAAGGCTCATTTCTCTTTTACATTTCTCCTGATAACTGTCACTTTGAGTCTATTGCTGTTATTTGATTCAATAAATTGATTCATTGGAAATTACTATCGGAATGTGTCCAACTAATCCCAATTCTTTTCCTTATCTGTTTCTCAGATACACACCAACTGCATTTTCAGCCATGTTCTGTGGCTTCTGATCTTGCATCCTTTACACAGCTCAATTCTTCATTCAGTTTAGGAGAAGATGATGAAAATATAAAAAAGCACTATAAGTAACTGAGAGGAAGCTTATTGTAAATGAGTATGTTGATGATAAAGATGTTGATATTGAAGAACTTTGAACAATATTTTATGCTGCCTCATGCAGTTCTTATACTTGTATAAATAAAAGATGAAAATAGCTAAGACAGATTTTTTTAAATAAGCACTCCACTCAATTAAATGCCCTTTCAAACAACATTATTTAAATAAGTGTCCCAGGTGCTAAATCACACATTTACAGCAATTGTTCTATTTAATTATTAGCTATTGTTGTTAATCTTGTATTGTGCTTAATTTAGAAATTGAATTTGTTCATAAATATGTATTTGAGAAGAAAACATATCAAAACTTACCTATACTATCTGCAATTTCAGGTAGTCCTTTGAATATGTCCCCTGGAGATAAAGGGAGGCTACTGTGCATTCAAATGTATTTGACCTTGTAAAGTGAGTGGCCTTGGTTAAATGAAAAATTAGTGGCAGAACAGCCTAAAAAACTGAATTGACAAAGTTTGCAATAAACAATAACATGAAAAAGAAAAAAAGAACAGGGCAAAAATAAAATAAACCAAGCAAACAATATATGTAAGGCAAATTAACATTAATAAGGCAAAGCAACAGTAATAAGGCAAAAAGTTCACAAACTAAGAATTGGGGTTGACACAAAAGAGCAAATTTGAATAAACAGACGTAGCTTTCTGAACTGGCCTATTTTATTGGCTAGAAAGAAATCCCAGTATGCATTTGTGTGCTTCTGCCTATAAATTGGAGTGTTTTGCAGTCATTCCTATTCAGAGTGAAACAAACAGCTCTTTTTTTCTTTTTTTTTTAATTCTGTAATAGATTTCTCACCAATTACTGAAGATGGTCTCTTCTGTCTTTTTTTTTTTTTTTGATCTATTTCACACCATGCAAAGCAGTAAAGACACTAAGACACGAGTGGTCACTGAGTGTGGGACAGAAACAGAAACATTGCTAAGGAGCAAGAACAAAAGAAAAATAATCAGGAGAACAATAAATAGCAATTGATATTGCATTTAAATTTTTACAGATTAAAGTTGGTTGGAAAGCATAGAACCAGAAGAGTGTTCCACAAACGAGAAGTGTGAGAAAAGAATTTATGGTTACATCTAGCCAACTCAGCTGTATATTGGTGAGACCTCGTCGGCACTCTAGTACTGCACTTAAATTCAAAGAGTCTAGGTACCATGATGAAGAGCTCATCCAAACAATTACCATGAAAGTATTTATAGAAAAGGCAAAGGAAGGCAACATTACAGTGGTGGGAAACTGACTGAAGCTGGGACACCAGATCAAGGCTAATAATATTGTTGATTCTGCTTTATAGCAGGAGCACTGGACCATATGTGGCAGCAATATTCTAAGCATGGATGAATGGTGGACTTATAGATATGTAAGATAGATTCTGGAGAGAAAAATTGTCTAGCATGACACAGTGAACCATCTTTCTTAGCAGCTGACCTAGCAATGGATTCAATGTAGTCCTTCCACTTCATGTCAGTTGAGAACATTAGTCCAAGAAGGTGCAATGAGTCACTCTCCTGGAGGTCTGCATCAGAGTGTTCTCTCAGGTGATTAATAGAGAATAGTTTAGCTTTGGAGGTGTTAAAATTAACAAGCCATCCTTTGCCTCAGTTAACAACAGATTGAAGGTCATTTTGGATATCAGCTGCCATTTTGATCTTATCAAACTTCATTTAACGCCCTAAGATGACTTTGTTCCTTTTCACTCAAAATCTTTATTTACTATACAAATTCTCATCCTACCTCCCTGTTGACTGACCAGTTATCACAGAGTAGTGAAAATGTTTACATTTCATGAAAATAATATGTATATGTAGAGCGAGAGAGAGTGACACAGTGTAGACATAGGAATCAAACCTACAGTTTCCTGCCTCAACACAATCTTTGTTTGAAGATTGCAACTGACAGTCACTAGGAAGGGTTGATTTTTATCTATGCATAATCTATATCTGTAAAGGCTCTATTTCTGAAATTGTGCATTCTCCCTTGTATAAATATAACAAAGTTTTAAACAATATTATATGATAAGACAATAAAACAAGAATTGGAAATCACTGTAAAAGAAATCATATTCAGGCTCTAAACTTTTAAAACACCCTTTTTATATACATACACACATGCACGCATGTGCACACACACACTTTACAATTGGAATTAAGATACCTTTAGTTGATGACCATTTTCACCTATGAATTTTAATTTTAAAATTCGCAAGATTTTTCAAACTGTTAATAAACAGTCAGCACTGTTAATAAACAGTTTGAAAAATCCTGTGAATTTTAAAATTAAAATCTGTAGGTGAAAATGTTCATTAACTAAAGGTATCGTAATTCCAATTGTAAAGAAAAATTGCTCTGTTTAATGAAAATAAACATTGAGTGCTCTTTTGTGAGTCAGTTTAACATATTTCAAATTCAATGTTGTATTAATAGGACTCGCTTGAATTATACCAATGGATTACTACTTATATATATATATATATATATATATATAATTCGAAAATTATAACATAAACATGTTATATCTTGCGAAAAACATGTTAAAAACATAAGCATGTTAAATCTTGCGAATTTTAAAATTAAATCACTACAAAAATAGCCATTTTGTTTCAACACTTCTGGCGTCTTATTGAGTGGTGGTGTTGGATGTAGACATTTTATAATATGTTTATGTTATAATTTTCAAATTAATTATATTTGCTCTATTCTGTATTGAACACTCTTTTAAGAATAGTATTTTTGGTTATTGGAATTTATTCCATATACACCAATCCTATACTTGGAGATATATTCCTGAGTAGGAATGTTGCTTGCTGGTCACTTTATATGCATTTCATGATCAAAGCTATGTTATGATATAAACATACAAGAAGACCTCTGCCCAGCTTTTCACCAACCGGCTAATGATTACCCCTTGTTGCATCTCAATCTTCAATCACATCGGTGTGCAAATGGGAAAGATCCACTGCATGTTCGCAAGGTAACAAGATGAAAAACAAACTCTGTGTCAAGAAATGAGAACACAAACTCTGTTTACCATTTTATAAAATATGCATCCTTATTCAGGGCTTCACTTGTACATTTGGGTAGGTAGGTAACACTTGGGACAACTTCTGCTATGTTGGTCTAACTGCTCAGCTGTTATGTGTGGCTGGCAATACGAATGGGTGGTTTTGTTGTTATTTGATCTCAAAAGCCTTCCCACCCCCATTTACTTTTCTGTTCCCCTTCAATCAAAGTGGATGCAGCTTAGAAAATTTTTTAAAATCCCATTTGCTGGCTATAAAACAAATACTTTAGATAGATCACACTTTCCTCTTCTACATAGGTATCCTAACCATAGTGCTACAATGATGTTTACTTAAATTATGTAACTAGTTTATGTACATAGTTCTCACAAACATATTTCCTTTGAAAGTACTATTATAACTGAATATATAACATTACAGTTATTTTGAAAGATACATTGACAAAGTAAAGAGTGTTATTTTACTGCATGACAATATCTATCCTCATATTACAAATATGATGCAGCAAATGATTATAGAGCTGGGATAGGAAGTTCTTCTGCATTCATTATATTCTCTAAACTTGTCAGTTTCAGTCTATTGCTTGTTTAACTCTAGACAACACTTATTGTTTAGTTGGGAGTTACAACAAATTCAAGGTAATGAAAAATTCCTCAAGGAATTCAACAAATCAAAAGCAGAACTCTTGTTTTAATGCACAATGAATCAGAATGATTATATTGAATCAGTTGTTAAGTCTGCTCCTAGGAAGTTGTTTCACCATATTGGGTTTGACAATTTTTCTTACTTGAGTCTGTCTTGCACCTGTCTATCATTTGTCTGTGCATTGAATATTGTTGCCATATTTGGTCTGGTGCATCTGCTATGTATTTAGAGATTCTTAACAAAATCCAAAGAAGAATGTGCAATGTTATCAGTCCTGGCATCTTGACAACAATCACTTTTCCACCACCATAATGTAGCTTCCCTGTGTCTTTCCTGTAAATATTTTCATGGCAATTGTTCTGAGATTTTCCCTTTGGTACCTTGACTTCATGAATTTAAGCATAATACTAGATTGGCAGCTTGGTCTCATAATTTCACTGTTGAAGTTGCTAAATGTAGCCATAAGTTCTGTTCTAATAGAAATTGATGATAATTTCTTCCACTTCTCGCTTGTGGAACTCTTTTCTGGCTTCTTACTTTTCTATCAACTATGATCTTTCAAAAATTTAAATGCAATGCCAATCATCATAATCTGTCTCCTTGAATCCTGTTCTTTTTATTGTCTTTTCTCTTTTGTAACATTTTCTCAGTTTCCTTCATTCTGAGTAATGTGGATGTGTGGGTGGTGCAATGGATAGTGACTTGGAATGAGTAATCAGAGAGCTGAGTTCAAATTCCAGTAAGGTTTGTTAGATGCACTTATGTGCAAATATCCTTGGGAAATGTATGAATCCATATCCCTCCAGCTATGGGTTAAATAGTAGCACATTTAGCTGGAAAAAAATCATTGTTATTCTCAAAAGAATTGTTAATGCAGTATTCACTTGCAAAAAAAAAAAAATTATTCTTACAATCCAAAATATGTTTCAGCTTTAAATAACCCACAAAAGTTTGATAAGCTGTAAAAAAAATCAATCACTCAATATTCTCAGTAACCTCTTGTGTCTTAGTGGTTTTATCACCTTGCATGGAATGAAATGATAAAAAATAGATAAGCATAAAATCATAGAACGCCAGTGAAAATAGTTTGATAACTGATGTGATGAATTTGCATGACTCAGAAATTTTGTCAAACTATGCTGGAAAATTTTCCACCAGCTTAATAAATGGTTACTTTATTTTTATCATTTAGACAGTTTCTTGAGCTGTGCAATGAAAACATGGGAACTGCTGATGAAAAAAATTCATCATCTATGAGTTTGGATCCACAACCACTTGTTGATCAGAAAGGAATGGATGCAAAAGAAAGGAATAAACACTGGAAAAAAGTTGGCTTCAGATGGGTGAGTTTTTTCCAAAGTTTTCAATTAGCATCTGAAAACTGTAAGTGTGGGGAAAATATAATATCTAAATTTAATATATCAGACTAAAGTTACTTTTCTTTCATTAAATTTTTTTTTTTTTCAACATGTTTTGGTTGATTAGTATTCATACATTCTGGTTATATTTTTTTCTTCCATATAGCAGTGTTATTCTTGAAACTAATGTTGAAATGTTTACTAATATTAACTTTTATAAATATGTTCTCACCACAGCCATTTCTCACTTATTGACTTACCTGTTTAACTATCATGCTTAGGACCAATTATAAAATCTCATAAAATATAAAAAATGATTCACCTACTCAGATTTGTGTATGAATGACTGATAATCGCCTGCAGATTCATGCATGAACAACTGATATTCACCTGTAGACTTGGGTTGGGAGTGACTGATATTTGCCTGTGGACTCAGATAAGGAGTGTCTGAATTTCGCCTGCGGTCTTGGGTAGAGAGCACCTGAATTTCACCTGTTGTCTTGGGTAGAGAGCATCTGATATTTGCTTGCAGACTTGGATAGGGAGTGTCTGATATTTGCCTGCAAACTCAGGTAGGGAGCATCCCATGTTCACCTGTGGACTCGGGTAGGGAGCATCCGATGTTCGCCTGCGGACTCGGGTAGGGAGCATCCGATGTTCGCCTGCGGACTCGGGTAGGGAGCATCCGATGTTCGCCTGCGGACTCGGGTAGGGAGCATCCGATGTTCGCCTGCGGACTCGGGTAGGGAGCATCCGATGTTCGCCCTGGGTTTCGGGTAGAGCATCCGATGTCTGCCTGCGGACTCGGGTAGGGAGCGACCGGTATTCAACTTGGCAAGAACTGTGTGGCTTTGTTTAATGTTAATATTAGCTGTTTCATTATATGGAAACATTTGATATTCATTGACCAAGCAGCTAGAACTGTTTGTTTGAAATTTAGAAAATCTTTTTCTCAACAGTTTTTCAGCAAAATAAGTTTCTCAAATCCAGTAGCTGTTATTGCTCTTTCCAGTACTCATGGAAGTTTCCTTACTAACCTTTTGTTTGAAGTAATGTGAAACATCAACATTTTGATTATATCATTATTTTCACTTCAAGTTCTCAGGTGAAATGGTTTGTTATCTGGTAGACTTTTTTTGTTTATGATTTTGTAGCATCAGTCCACAAGGTTTGAAGAAATGTGGACTTAACTAAGACCCACAGGCTTCATTTACTCAAAACCATATTTAACCATTGATCTTAGAAAGTAGTTGTATTCCAGTGACAGTTTAGATATTTCTGAACAGATTTGGTGCCATGCATGACATCCACATGAAAGTCCTGAGCTGACAAAGTTATTTAAGAACATGACTTGAGTTTTCTGGTTGATGTTTTGATTTTGTATCAGTTAATTGTTGCATTGTTGGGCAAAACTACCTCTAGTGCAGCCTATTCCAGGTTTAATCTTCTTATCTCCTATACAGTGTAACCCGGATATAAGAGAAACCCGGATATAAGAGAGATTTTCTCTGGTCCCAAAGTGTTCCCATACTTACCTAAACAAAATAGACCAAACCCGGATATAAGAGAAACCTTGATATAACTCTCTTATATCTGGGTTACACTGTACTTAATTTCTTATACAATAGAATAATAAATGCAATTTTCATGATTAGAATCCTACCAGAACAAGAATAGAAATGTGGTAAGATTTGCTTCCTAGATTGTGAAAAGGCATTTGATAAAATATGTCAAAGAACTCCTTGAAATGTTAGGAAATCTTGGTTTACACTGAAAGGATATTCAAATAATCTGTGACCTGTACAGGGAACAAACAACTTGTAAGCAGATAGGGAATGAATTAAGTAAATATACAAAAATAGAAAGTTTGTTTGTTTTTTATTTGTTTATGTTTAATGATGACCTATCAACCATTTTTAGGTCATCCAAGGTCAAAGTTTATTTTTTTCCCGTTCTTTTTTTTTTCCTATTTCTTAGAATCAGACAATTGTTATTTCATTCCTGTCTGGGTGTTGTTATCATTTTGCTAGTATTGGATTGTTTTTATTATTAAATAAGTTTGTACAAATTAATTTCCTTTAGAAACCCTATAATCTCGAAAAAAGCTAAAAAAATAGAGGAATCCAATAAGGATGTATTTCCTTACTGGATTTATTTAACTTGTAAAGATTAGAAGATCTACTAGGATTTATTATTGATGGATATAACCTTAACAACATACACTACCCAGATGATATTGTATTGCTGACAAATACAAAGACACTGAAAGAACAATTAAGACAAGGTAATCAATAAAAGCAAGAAGAATGGACTTACCATTAATGTCAAAATGCATGGTTGTCAACAAAATGGACAATCAAAGGTGAGGATTATGTAATAGAGATGTCAAAATCAAGCAGGTGTTGAAATTTAACAATCAGGATAGCATGATATTAGAAAGTGTGACACAGAAACCTAAAGGTGTATTGGAAGGATGCCTTAAGGGATTGAAAAAAGTCCTGTGAAATAACGTTGGGTTGCTAGGTAATGTCTAAATTCCTATGTGGCAGTGAATGTTTGACAATTTCATTACAAATAGTCTGGTTTTACTGAAGAATCTTCAGAATCTCCAGGGAGTATATGTGTTATATAGGAATAAAGTGTCACTGCTGACACTTGTGAACAAACACAGGTGATCTCATTCATTAGGTAGATCATGTGACCATAGTGGAAACACATATATAGGAAGTCACGTGACATCTAGACATTTATTTGCTATTTTAGTCTATCCTCTCTTACTGTATTCGTTATTTCTCCTCTATCCCCTATACTATTCAGACTGCTATTCCCTTCTCACTATACAAAGTACTATTACTACAAGTATTATTCTAAGACATTTGATACAAGTATTATTCATCAGCATATTGTAATTGGTATCTGCAATTACAAAGTGTCCTGCTATGTTGGCATAGTATCAAGCAAGTATACATTGTCATCACAAGAGTGATGACACAACAATAAGAAACACTGTCCTGGGTATGACGATGAACTATATCTCGCAGCAAGGCCTCTGATTGGGAGATTGGAGGTTTTGAGTAGTGTGGAACCACCTCTTCACTGTTGTTGTTCCCAGGCCCACCTTGACTCAGGTTGGTACCACCTGTTAGGGTACAAGCTATGGGCAAATAGTGAACTCCCAAACAAAAATGAACAATACATTTTTATAATAAAATGACCAACAATACATTTTTATAGAAAAATAACAATCAATGCAACACTAACAAATATAAAAATACATTTTTATAGTAAAATTAACAATACATTTTATGATCTACAAACTATATATCTAAAAAACATACCTTTATCCTGAAAGCATAAAATTACATATAAAATATCTGTAGATGAAAGCATAAAATTACATACAAAATATTTAGATTTTGGCATTAAATAATCCATAGAGATTGATATGTGAAAGAAATCACCAAATCTTGTAAGACTTGCACTGAAAATAAATTTAAGTTTTACCGTCTTAACACCAGCAAGGTCATAAAAGCCACACAACCCTATGAAAGAATTACCTTGAATTTTAAAGGACTGTTTTTGTCAAAAACTCCTAACAAATATATGCTGACAATAATTGCCAAATATTCATGGTTTCCTTTCTCATTATCCTACCCTAATGTATCCTCTACAATGGTTATACAAACACTTTGCTCAGTTTTTGCTGTCTTTGGGCTACCTGCTTATATTCATTCAGACAATGTCTGAATGTGTATGTCACTTCCCTGAAGGGCCAGGAATAGTCATAAGTAGAACAACTTCATATAACCCTCAACGTAATGGCCAGTGCAAGAGGTATGATGGAATAATTTGGAAAACTGTTCAACTAACAGTTGCTGATAAAAGGGCAGCTTTAGAGAGATGGGAACAACTATTCCGAGAGGCCCTGCATACAATTAGAATGCTGCTATGCACCACTACTAACGCAACACCCCATGAATGATTCCTCCTATTTCCTAGCAGAAGTTTGACTGGAGTGTCCCTACCATTTTGCTCTCAAAACTGGGAGTAATATTACTAAAAAGACACTTGACTAAATAAGAACGAACCACTGGCGGATCAAGTGGAGCTTCTAGACACCAATCCCCCAGCATATGCATGTCCATTACCCTGAGGAAATGTAATTGATCCTGACCTGGAATCTTGAATTCAATCACTTTTTCACTGGCGTGACGTGGCTTCCCTCTATCTTTTCTACAAATATTTTCATGGCAATTTTTCTGATGAGCTTTCATCCTTAGTGCCTTGACTGCATGAATTTAAGTCAACTGCATTAATTTTAAGCACTAGATTGGCAACTAATTCTCACTGTTTTACTGTTTAACTATCTAGATGCAATCATATGTTCTATTCTAACAGTTTTTTTTTGTACATCTCGCGCATGGTGTTTCCTTTCAAATTCTTGCTTCCCTGTCACCTACAGTCTTCAGATATTTAAATGCAACTTCAGTTACAATCTTCTGTCTTCCTGAAACCTGTTCTTTTATTATTCTTTCTTGTCAATTTTCCTCACTAAAGTGTTCTCAGTTTCTTTCACTCCCAGTAACCCCTTGCATCCTAGTGGCATTATCACTTTGCTCGAGGTGATATTATTAAAAAAGAAAAAAAAACTTTTTTTTCTTATTTATTTTTTAAATCATGTCAAAAATGCATTTCCTCCTATTTTGTCAAGTCCATTTAATAGAAACATTAATATAGATGTTAAAATTCTCTCTGTTCAGTTGTCACCGTTTTTTCATATTTTTAAATGTCAGATTGAGTATAGTTCTTATTTATTTCCTCTTCTGTCTGTAATTTTTAGCTGACATAAATTGATTAATTAAAAATCTTTCTAAAAGTCATTGTTGCATTTTTAATGCATACATTGATGTTGATGATGGTATCAAGATAAATGCAGAGAATTATTTTAAGTAATGGTTGGTTCATTGTACCACTCCCATAAGTAT